CTCGTAGATCAGAATCAGAAGTGCTTTAATAGTCCCACAGCGGGGACATTTACAGGGATACAGCAAAAGTGGCATAGCAGGAAACTGGGATGTCCCGATCACCTTTTTTTGCTCCCGATCCGATTCCGATCATTTGATTTTGACAATTTGCCGATACCGATTTTTCCCGATCCGATGTTTATGCAATGCAAAAAAAGATAAAAAGCATTCAAGTTGTCCCTTAAGGTTATTTTTTTATTTAAATTGGATATTCTATCCAACATGGATATAGCTTCTTTCTTTCACAGCAGCANTGACCTCACCACCTTCAAAAAACTCACCTCTTCAATCTGGCTTTTAATGTGTGATTGTTTTTGTATTATTTGACTTTAACTTTAACTATATATTTATTTGTTGTTCCTTTCTTCTATCTTCACTATTATCTGTAAAGCGTGTTTGAGCACCTGTAAAAGCGCTAACAAATTAAATCTATTATTATTATTATTATTAAACAAATCTTCTATCCAACAGCACAGAGGAAGTCAAGAGGAAGCACAGATTACCAAACTATTTAAAAGAATTTTTGCGGTTATATTTTGTATATTGGTGCACCTCACATATACGGTATGTTCATTATCTATGTTTGTTTTTAGGGATGTCCCGATCACCTTTTTTTGCTCCCGATCCGATTCTGATCATTTGATTTTGACAATTTGCCGATACCGATTTTTCCTGATCCGATCTTTATGCAATGCATTAAGAGAAAAAAAAGATAAAAAGCATTCAAGTTGTCCCTTAAGGTTATTTTTTTATTTAAATTGGATATTCTATCCAACATGGATATAGCTTCTTTCTTTCACAGCAGCACTGGATCAGTTCAGTTGTGCAGCATTGGATCAAATCAAAAATAAAGCTTATCAGTACTCGTTAGCTTACTGCTACAATTAGACACTGCGCCCTGCCCACTCTGTTGCCAGATTTGAGAGGAATAAGCAACCAGGTCTATGAAAACATGCCCCAAAGAAGCAACACATACATGATGTTGTGTAATTTGAAACCAAAACTAAGGCCTCAGGATGACTTTAAGACTGGAAAATGGTCCTTTTTGTTTTGTAACATTGAATTAAAAAAATAAAATAAAGTATTTATATTTGTAAAAAAAAAAAATATATTTTTTTTTTTTTAAATCCCGATCCCCGATTTTTTTCTCCCGATTCCGATCTTTTGAAAATCACGTGATCGGCTCCGATCCCCGATCACGCGATCGGATCGGGACATCTCTATTTGTTTTACAATTGTTTACTGTAAAAACATAACAACAAAGGCTATAACAATTTCCCAGAGACAAAGGCAACATACTTGACGTGATTTAAATAATTAAAAACTGTAACTTGGTATTTTTAAGACGTCTCAGTTTTGACTTTTTCACTTATCTTCTGAAAATCTTTAAGAGAACTCTTTAACAATGAACACACCCAGCCTTTTGAATCCAATTTGAGACTCACTCATCCAGAAAACTCAAGGTGTAAAGTCACATACTGTCTAATATATTAGCAAAGGCTCATCAAATACATCTTTGACATATGCTCAATCAGATAAACAACTACACCACCTAGGACAGCAAGCATCAAATTAGGAAGCACACAAAGCCGGAGCGTCAGAGACAAACCAACTAACCGGAGCAGAAACACAGACGGACTACAGACGATTGCCTCAGGACTTCACTGCCATATCTACACCGGCTACTGTGTACATGGAAATAAAGCCTGGATTCTTGAAAATCTTCAATCTTCATCACTCGAGGTACAAAGATGGAGGCCCTGTATATCGGTATTCTGCTATGATGTCAGGCTTTTCAATGCACTATTTTCACATAGCATAAATCTTTTCTGGCTCCTGAAAAAGTATTTAAAGTACATTTTTTGTACAATTTTCATTACTTATTTTGTAAAAAACTAGGATTTGGTAAGACATTTGTCAATGTAAACTGGCCATTTTTGGCTGCTCTATCAGTGACTATGAAATGTGCGTGCCTAAAGCAGAAATATTTTAAGCTATTTTTTTGCTTTACTTCCCAGATTTACCATTATTCTTATGCATCATTAATAAATAAAAACATTTGAGTGTTTCTAATTTTGCAAAAATCCTTTAGTGCAGTGCCATGTGTCTATCATATATCGCCCCCGCTGAAGTAACAGAAAGTGCATTTTTATACTTCAGTCTTTGCATTTGAGTGGATTAGTGAAACTGAGTGTATTTAACAGGTTCGCCATGCATTTGCTAAATCTATCAGTCCCTGTGCAACTGTAACGTAAATCAAACATCAAAAGAAGGTTTTCAAGTTATTTTAGTTGTGCCCAGTCCAACTAATGTATCATAAATTAAAAGAGAGCAAAAAGAAGAGGATTGCACGTTCATGTTCAGCAAATGTTTTGTTAAGATTAATAAAATTGAGTAAGCCATGAAATCATGAGTCAGTTCCCTACAAAGCAATTTTTCAATACTTTTTCAAAAGAGGTGATCATTAAACCAAATAAAAATAGTTTAAATCATGACAATGATTACGAAAAATATATAAAGGAGCACAGTAAAAAAACTGAAATAATAATTTGTGAAACGTGTGCAAATGTTTTGAGCACACAGGTCATTCTGCACATGTATTTGTCTTATTGTATCCAACTGGCAAATGTATCACTGATGTAAAATCAACACTTAAAAAGGTCCAATGTCATGCTTTTCCGGTTTTTACCTGTACCCTTGTGTGTTATGAAGGTTTTTATGCATGTAAATGGTCTGCAGAGTCAAAACCCTCAAAGTACACCCTGTAGCGAGCAAAACTCTAACGGTACGTCCACACAGCCGCGTTAAAAAAATCTTGGAGGTGGGCGTATCTGAAGCTTGGGAATTTTTTGCGAGCAACGCGACCAACAACCAATAACATGAATCTCCCGCCCCCGACATACAAAGCAATAGCAATGTTAAAACGAAGTAAGCTGGATATAAAATCCCCAAACAGGTGAAAACCTACCAGTTTCACCCACTGTCTCTGCCACCTCCCTCCATGCCTGGCTCCTCCGGTTTGTATCCCGGTAAATGAACAGAGACTGATCATACAGCACCGGGTGATNGGGCAGAAGCGTTGGAAGGTTTTTTAACGCTGCAGTGTGGACGGGCCGTAACACAGAAAATACCTCCCCAAAACGCCTCGTTGGAGATACGTCATTGTCCATTGTTTACTTCCTGGGCACTGTGACGTAGGAATGGCCAGTAGCCGCGCCCAGAGCTATGACGTGATACGGTCATGCGGTACCCGGAACCAAATGGACCAATCCACGGACTTCCTCACACACACACTCAGTGCAGGCAGCTCTGCTGATTTCTCCTCCCTGGCTTCAGGCTGATAACAGACAGTTGGGATTGTGGCGAAATTCTCTCTGCAGACCCATTCTCACAGCGTTTATCAACCTTTTTCTTACTCAATCTCAAGGCACACTTATTGTTTTTACTTCGGCTGTGACTTTGTGTGTGCTCAAGATGAGTTTGGCTGTGTTTCGCTAAACAAAGAAACAACACATCCACGGAGCTCAACGCGATTCACAACGTCCCGACCAATCAGAGCACACTGTGCTCACAGGGAGGGTGGGGGCTGGAGCTATTGGAGCTACAGGGAGCCGTTAAAGGCAGAGAGTGAAATTCAGTGAATACACGTAGGTTACAGAGATGCTGTACGAGAAACCAATGTGAGTTTGGAAAATTGCACAATATACATCTATTCTAGTAGACCTCAACAATGGAATTATGATCAGTGGAAATAGCCATGACATGGGACCTTTAAATAAGACTTAAGTTACACCTGGAGTAAATTCACAAGCTAATCTGCAGCATACAAGCTAATTACAATTAGCTGCACCTTTGATAACACTTGAATGCATCAATCATCATAATAAAAAAACATGTCATATTATTCTGAAATCGGTCAATCTGCAGAATGAGTACTTTTACCATTGATTATTTAAGTATATTCTGATGCTTATACTTTTGAACATTTTGATTGCAGGACTTTGACAGAGTACTCCTACACTCTGGTATATCTACTTTAACTCAAGTATAAGATCCAAGTACTTCTTCCACCGCTGATGAACGTTTCCATATCAACGTTGTCAACAATGATATGAACAACAACACAATAACATCACTGTGACGTCATAACATAGTAAAGGTACTCACATTTCTTCAAACACTTCATCCAGTGCCGCACAATCAGGCTGTGGTACTTCTTGTTGTCGATGCACCACGTTGACAGTCCCTGTATTGAGTCCATGGTGTTGGACACGCTCTGAAACCTTTTCCCCATCGTGGACTCGAAAGAGCCGCCAGAAGAGGCTCGTGCGCCCGCTGCCATGTCCGGAGGAGCTCGCGCTGCTCACTACCATTCCAAAAGGCAAACTGACGTTAGCCGGGGCTAGCACTTAGCTTAGCATGCTATCTTAACGTAGCACAAACATCCCTTTCAGTACACTCTTAGCTGTTTTTAAAATGTTACGAAACACTAAATGCTCGGTATGCTGTTTTCATAGATGTCTTAGTATATTACTTATCCCTGTGTGTCTCTGTATGAGCGCTAGTAGTTTATCAAACCTAATATTTAAAGCTAAAACTTAGCGCCTTGAGACATCCTAGAGCACTGTTTACTCCTCGCTGGTGGAGGGATGAAGGACACTTCCGCAAACACGACATCATTATGGCGCCACCCAGTGCTACGGAAGGTAATAACTGATAGCGCCACCTGCTGCATCCATGACTGTGTCATAGACAATTTAGTAAGAATTCATTTGTGCGTATTTTATGTCATAAAATACGTATGTTTTCTGTGTGGGTTCTTAATTTCCTGTAGTTGTTAAAAGAGAGAATAGTTCGTGATTAATACGCGTTTTATCTCAAGCAGATGTTTGCATGTGTCCTTTTTTAATGGGTTTTACTTTTATTCTTGGGATGGATGTTTCAGTAAAGAATGTCTAAAAATATATATGAGCAACACACAAATCTAAAGTAAAGGTACTTATCATGGAGAATTGCCCTATCAAAGTATCATATTTTATTATAATTTTTGGTTTACTGAAAATTGTGCATAAATGGGGAACTCATTTCCAATGCATTTTACTGTGTAAAAGTGTTAATTTATCCTATGTATAAATCTTTATTTGCAAGATACTGTTTCAAAATGTTCAGTGTGCTCTACCAACAATAATAGATTTAAGTGTTTAATTAGAAAAAATCAATGAACTGATAAATTAGAAAAATGAATTATTAAGTGTTCGATTCAAGTCATGCACTAAGAAAAGGGAAATAAAAAAAACTAACACCTGCCAACACAACAGCTGGCAAATAATGAATCAATATTAAAGCAAGACACCTTTTTTTCATCCGACATGTGTTTTTAATTCCAGAAAATCAACAGACACTGAATTTTGATGGACATCATTAATTTAATATATAAAAATATGTGCATTTATCAATCAATCATCAATAAAGTAATTTCATTAAAAAAAAATAAAAAAATACCCACAACAAAGAAAACTTGAAGACGTACAATTGAGAAATACATTTACTCTTCTTTTAGTTTTTCTATTTTGAAGAATAAAAGATCCTAACACTAGACTACAACTCTCCACAACATTTTAAATAACATCACTCAGAAAAAAATCTTTGCATCCACACAGCACCACATTTGATACATAAGATAGTGACTCTTTGTATGATTGATAATGATATTTCAGGCAGATGTATTGTTAGGTTTATGTCTGTCTTATAAGTAAGGCTGACTGGTGTCAAACCACCAGAGATGAAACACCATTCAACATGAATGATATCTGATTTATAATATGGTGAAAATGGCCAAATGCTTTCAGACAAAGAAAGAGTTCAGGAATGGAAGTTGTTTTGTTGTATAAATATATGTGCAACTCTTTGATGAAAGGTGTACATGTGCATTTCCTCTGAATCATCCAAGATGCAATTACATTTATTCCAAATGTACAGAGGATCAAATACAATATGTTTGCTTCATAATATACAAAAGATGGCTTAAAATTCATGTAATAAAACATATTTTTAACAAAACAAATTACGAGTAGTATTAAGTATTTATTATCGATCAATTAGGTTTTGGTATTTCCTCAGCAACTCTGTTACCATCATCTATTTATATTTACAAAGAAATACAAATGTATGTGTGTTAACAGCTAATAAATAAAGTGGTGAAGTAAGGTACGATATGATATGATGATGCAAAATGGTTTGGTTTGGCACGTTGTTTTGCAGCGGCTCCATGTCTTTGCACCAACACGTTACATTCAATAAGCTGGCAAATTATATTTTTAACCATCCTAAATTCTTTATTAATATATTTAAATTGTTGATATATTATTCCTGTTTTTAACCAGTGTTTAAAGCATTTACAACATATTCTCAAAGGCAAATGAATACAAAAATGATACTCTTTACAGACAGACGATACACATTTGCTTGGATTAGAGATTAGAGTGCATTCAATCCAAAATTGCACTGGACATTCAGTGGTTGATAAATCTCTCTTTGCATTTCTATTCCTCCTCTTCCGTTTACATGCCTTACAGCCAAAAAGGACTGGCACTGTGCCAAACTTAATCCTTATGTAATTAAGTCCGCCCTATGGCAAGCATTCAGTTGCACCTCCATGTGGCAGCAAGGTCAGCTCAGGCCAGCGAAGTGGAGCCAGCTGTGGTCAAGATGTCACTTGAGGACACGGAGCTGTCTTGTGTAGCAAGGCTTTCACAAGAGGAGGGCAGAGAAACCTCAGACTGCCCTTGATTCTCATTTACCCATCTTCTGCTTAAAGTGCAACTGTTGAATGTGCCCTTGTGTTCCTCAGCCGGTTTTTCGGTTTTGTCCTCTGGACTTCTCTGTTTTTTGGGTGATCCAGGAAGACACGTGGAAGCGGTGTTAAGTGGGGTCGCAGCCAAGCAGCTCTCATGTTGATTGTGCGTGCGCTTGGTTGGGATTTTGCTGCAGTCTTTGGGGTCTGACCAGCTCAGCTTTCTCTTCTGGAACAGAAAAGAAACACCAAAAATAAGAACCATAATAAACCAAGGTCTCAAAGGAAAACTACAGATCATTTCACCTTCACCAGATTTAAGAAACCGTTCTTATCAACTGAATTTTGACAGCTATTAAACCAATAAGACTTAGTTAAAGCTTGCAGTCTTTGCATCCTCTGCTGAATATTATCTTTAAGTGTCTTATATCATTCTTCAAATCTTTAAAATAATATTGTTTTCATTCTCTTTTCATCTAGTTGTATCAGTGTTGTTATAATATATATTTCAAATGGATGCTTGTTGGTTCCAAACAAAACGTTGTGTCAAAAGTTTAGTTAAGACATTTTAACATCTCAGGGTCATGTGGACCGTGCACTTTCATAGGTAGCAAAGGTGACATCTAATATGAAGCTCACCTTAACGGGCATGTGGAGCTGATTCTGTCTCCAGTGTGGTCGGAACGTGGGCGTGGGTGTATGGCTCGGTATTACTTTGGACTGAAATTCCACCCGAGGGAACCATATTTTGAGCATCGTCTCTATCTGCAGCAGGTTTTGTAGGTATTTCTCACTGCAGGACAAAAATAGTTCAGGGACAAGCATTAATGACAGGACTCTTTATGTATGAGCATGACAGTGTCCCGATTGTTACTACAATGATAATATTAGGCTTGCAGCTAGTCTTACCCCATTTCTGGCCTCTGCAGAATCCCAAGTATTCTCTGCAACCTGTCTATTGCAACACTCTGCTGGAAACTTGATAGACCTGCAACAATAACAAAAAAAGTAAATCCAAATGTCAAAACATGTATGGCACTGTAATAACAATACAACTTTGGAGGTGATGGTCATAAAGTTGAATATTGCACAAACACATACCTTTGTCAAATCTTCCAGTTTTCAGTCCGTGCAGAAGCTCAACCAAAGGACAGATAAACCTCCGCAGATCTCTTACCTGGAAGAATAAGAAGAAAGATTAGCTTTACTAATTAAGTTAATAAAAAACCCACTTATAACAAATATTAGAATCTTTTGGCGGGTTCTCACTTTCTGAGCGAAGGCCAGGTCCCCTGGTGTTGCAGGAGATGAGCCTAACGTGGCATCAGCAGGAGAAGAGACGGGATGCTTAGTTTTTTCAGGGCAGCGTGTGATTCTTTCATCCCCTGAGAGGGACTTGTTTCCTCTACTGTCCCCTTCTCCCTCTGAGAAGACATCTGCTTCATCGTCAGTCTGCTCACTCTCACTGAAGAGCATACTCGAGTTGGAGGACAGCGAGTCATAAGATGGCCATTTGGAAGAACTACCCAAGGAATTCATCTGTGGAGAGAGAAAGATAATAACGTCAAAATACAACTCATTCAGTTCAAATTCTGGGACAGGGCTAAATCAAATAGGGTTACAGTATTACATTATTAGTTAACTTTGTACTAAAGGAAATATGTTGATGTCTTCCAGTAAAAACAATTATTAAAAAATGTGTTGTCCATCCCTATGTGCTACTGTCTAAATGAAAGGTCAAAAAATTTCTTCGTATTTCTTCTTTTTAGAATACATTAAACATTGTACTGACAAAAAAAGGGCAATCCAAGCTATACCACTGAATAAATATCTGTTAAAATCTTTAAATTACATTTCAATATATTAACCCATATTACACCATACTGGGAATATAATAACCTTGAGTTATTTAAATTGCCATCTCGATATCCAAAAAAAGAACCCAAACGCAAGCCTTTTGGCAGTATCACGCACTTTATATATACAGTCTATGATCACGCATCACCAATTAGAAATGGTGTTTGTTGCCAATAGCTGTGATGTGTTCACCAAGTCTCAGTAGAATATAATCGAGATGAGAACAAGGCAAACGATATCTTTCGTTGGATTATCAACATCATTTTCATATAGAAAGAAGGCAGACTAAGGATGGGCTACTGTAGGACTAAGCGTGTCCACTTTTGCAGTTTCACCATGAGATTCTGGTATTCACTGTAAAACATTTTTTAAAAGAGGCGTGTGTCCGTGTCTGTGCACGTACACCACGGTTCAGGACACTTGTCATCTGGGAACAGATGCTTACCTCCACTGATTACCTCATGAAACTTCAACATCAATAACACACCTATAGCCTCATATATGGTTTGAGATTAAGTCTTGTTTTCAGCATGTTTTTCATGACTGTTGTCAAGGACATTTAATTTGATGATTTAAGACAACATAGGTATAACGTGGTTGCTGGTTACACACTATTTCTTAGTTTAAGTCAAACAACAAGCACAAACAAATATAAAATATGACCTTTACATCCTTAACTATTTAGAAACTTGATATTATTCATTAAGGCTACCTATCCTATATATCACAATGTATGAAAGTGCGTGGATTCTGAAAAAATTGTCATGACAAATAAAGTGACTACGTATCATATTTGAACTAACAATTTAAGAATGGATTTTGACAAACAAAGTACGTTCTGTAAAACAGTTGTATGGAGAAAATTATTACCTTAAGGTTGGAGCAGAAGTTGATTCAGAAAATCGGTACAAATAATACAGCTCCGCGAGAGAAGGCACGTTTAACTATTTTGTCCAAGTTAAACAATGACACTCCTTACGATGTAACCTTAACAAAGTTAACGCTTCGTAGAGATAGATGCGTAGATACAGTTTAGACGCAGTGAGTCTCACCCTGCTCCTTCTTCTACTCTCTGTTCCTGTGTCGTCTACTTTGTCAGATACCCAACCTGTTAGAAAATGTACCCACGGAGCAAAACACGGACGCTACACGTGCAGTGCATGCAGGGAGCCGCGATTGGCTGAAGGGGACTCGCGCTTGTCCCTCATTGGCTACGAAGGTTGACCTATCAGCAGCAACCGCAGCGCTGATTGGCTGGTATATGCGTAGATGCCAACGCACCTCGCTCTGCCGCACGTGTTGGTGGTGTGGCTGCTGGTGAAATCGAGAGAAACAAGCCAGCACGCGGCAGATACAGCATGTGCACGACATTTTAGTATGCAAATCAAAAGCATTTGGCCTGCTTAGCGGTTAAGTTACAATACTTATGTTAGAATTAACTGCATGATTACATGTCTTTCTGATTGGGGTTTTTCATATTATTGACCTCACTCGTTTTACAATTTTGTTATTTTTTATTAGTAGGCTACCAATATTCTTTGCTGTTACTCTTTTCGCTGCTATTTGTCTGGCTGTATTTTGAGAACAACAAAATAAAACACTGCACATTCAAACTGATTATGAATATGTTTGTGTCTACTTTCATGTAAAGTTGTTTTTTATTTCTCAAAAAAATACCCACTGATTGTAAGACAAGCTAGATATGTAAACACAAATCCTGTATAAGGTGTAAATAAGCATGAAATTATAAAACAATTTTAGTGGTCAAAAGACACATTAATTTGTACAATTCAACAATACTTCTATGGCAAGCAAGCCCTTTAAAATCCGTCCACATTCTCCCAAATGATCATAAAAGTAAAGTCATTAAGAAATTCCAGCAGAAAATCAACGCATATTGTTTTAAGCGCATTTATGGCTGTACATTTAAGGAGTAGAGTGCACACCCCTTCAGCAAATTAAGCCAAATGCGACCTCCGAGACGTTTATGAGATGATGCATCATATGCCTATCAGAGGAAAGATAGCTTGGGACACAGGGACCATTGCAATTTGCCTTTAAATACCTTTTTGTTGGATACAAAAATAAAATGCTGTTACCTGCAGGAGCCTGAGGCAAATACTTTACCAAGGTTGCTTACCAGGGCCGTGGGAAGTAGGGGTGCTGAGGTTGCTGCAGCACCCCCTGGTGGAGGACAGGGGATCTGCACTTCCACGAGAGTAAATACAAATATAATACAAATATAATACAAAAAAAAACAAATTTTCAGCCTTGATGTAACAACATTCATAATTAAGTAAAGATAACACCATTTTCACCCCGGTTACATTTTCCATTTGCCCAGTACGATGGGCGCTGTAAGTGATGAAAGTGGGGGATGTTGGCTTATCAGGCGCCCGCAGCTCACAGCCAGCGTGAGAGAGAGAGATAGAGAGAGGGGGAGACAGGAACCGGCGGGGATTGTTGTGTGCTTCTGCTGCGCTAACGGATGTAAGAAGCTGTTTCTACAATAATGTGGAGGGAGAGCTCTCCTATCAGACTGAGAGGCTCAGTGAGATAAAGGACTCTGAGGGTTTAGATAGTTCACTTTAGTCTAAGTTGTCTCAGTGGGTCTCAAACGTTTTGATCACAATTTATGTAAACAAATACTTCCAAGGCACACCTTTATAATTATTAGGATAAATAAAAACAGGTTTGAAATCATTCCAATGTATACTATAGGACAGTAAACTAAAAATATTGTTTAAAACTGGAGAGATTTAAAAATATGCATAAATAAATAAATGTTAACTGGTAAAATAAGATATAAATATCGTTTAAAATAAAATACGCTAGCCTACATTTATTTGTTATTGGCTATTATAGGTTATTGGAAATGTTCACATACTTATTTGATTAACAAAAGGCAAACCGATCTTTTTCATATGGGTGTTTAGAGTTGTACCCCCTACAGTAAATCAGTCTCTATTAATTGGGCACTCAAAGTGCACCAGATTGAAGCATTTTACTTTAAAATGTTAAAAAAATCTTCCCGGGGGGGCACCCGCGGACCCGCCTATAGGCCTAGAGGATGTGAAGTCCACCCCCCAATTAAAATATGTTCATGCAATACTAAATACATTTGAAGCCTTTCTACGTAAGCTGTCCACTATGTCAATACGTTTCTCTTTTTGTAGTGTATTGGTCCTTTGTAGAGGTTTTTCATTGCCAGCTAAAATCTTGCCTTGGACAGCAAATTGGTCTGAACCGGCCCTGGTGTCATCCCCACAGCACCCCCCATTTGAAACATGTTCCCACGGCTATGTTGCTTACAAAACAATATGGTCATGATGATCATAATGTCAAATGATAATTAGTACTGGCAAGGCAGTCAACCCACTGACGAGACTGGTATGAAATACATTTATAGTTAAACCATATGTTGAATTGTAATTGCTATAACACAAATTACTTAATAAAAGTTGACCAGAGCTCCCAAGACAAATCCGTTTCCAAGCATTCTCATAATGGGTGACTATACAGTATATATCGGCAGATCGAAGATGTTCCTTAGAATGTGTGTTCTTTTTTTATCAGGAGATCTATGAAAACAGGCATGATTCATGTTCCAACATTTAGCTTAAGGACATTTTGTTCCGAGATGTTTTGATTGCAAAACAGATATTTGTATATGATCAGAACAAACAGCTATCAGGTGAAAGAGGAAGTACAAACAATAGTGGCAAATCCTGACAGGTAAAAAAGAGAGAACTATTTGAAGCAGAAAAAAAACAGTTTTTATTATTATTTACAGCAGGGGTGGGGAACCTTTTTCCTTTCAATTTTTACAACATCCTCCGAGGGTCTTACCAATTATTGAACTCAACGTCTGCTTAAAAAAACTAAAATCACAGCCCATTCATTTCCCCTTTCTTTCATGCTGTGCAAAGAAAAAGCAACCTCTTAATCCAGAGATCTCTCTTTTTACTGAGAGAAGTACATGCAAGTTTGGTTGATGATATTGAAAATAATTAAGAATACGAAAATAATTCTTAACTCATTATCTAGCCTCTTTACTTGGTACACTCTTTTGCATTGGTGGAGATAATAAGTTAAAATTGGCTTTTCACACAAGGCACATTTATGAGTGGTCATGGATTGTGGCCATCTCTAAAAGTTTCATCTTAATTAGACATTTGAAATTAGATAACATTCAAATGTAATACTGTTGCTGTTGGATATGTTCAGGGAGGACAGAGCATTGCTGCCCGTGTTTCTATCAGGTGTGATCATGTTTTTGAGTGTACTGTACAGGTGGCGGTCAAAAAAGGTATTTAAAGCAGTGATGTGCTTTTCTTCTGCCCACATGTTAGTTGTTCTGTTCCAGTGATAGGGAAGTGTCAGTGTTTTTGATTGTGAAACTTGGGAAAGGGCCAAAAAAAACATTTGCAAGTTTCACAATCACAATAATGCCCTAGTTATAAAGACAGCAGGAGTAACACAGACCCAACACCTTATGTGCTCCCCTTGGCTGATATAAAACCTACTTACGGATTACAGATTTATATTAACAGATAGCATGAAATATTCATATAACTGTTTTTATCTAAAAGCTAACTTCAGCGCTCAGACTCCTCACAAGGACACCCATTGACTAACATTCAACAGGAAACCAACATGACCTGGTAACCTCTGAAACAAATGAACATGCTGCAAATGTTTAACTTCCCCTGTGTTATGAAAACTAGAGCAAACATTACAGCCACCTGTGGCTAAAGCTCGGGGTCTGACAGATTTGTGTGGCCAATATTGCTCACTTAATTAAGTTTATGGGAGGTGGTCGACTTCCTCTGCGGGTGTTAACACCATACTGTGCAGTCGTGACCTTAAATTAATTAACAGCAGGCAACACTACTGACAGAGCCCCACAAAAAAAACTAACCCACATTGGTTGAGTTCATCCAGCCGTTGAAGTCCCATCCAACTTGCAAGGTATACTGTATGCAGAGCTTCATCAAGTAAGTCAGCTAAAAAATATATAGCCAACTATTTTGATAATTGTTAATTATCATTTTTCATACAGAAATGTCAGAAAAGGCTTCTTTCACTCTTTAACATATGACACACGATGATTTCCTGCCTTTCTCTATTTTATATCATGTAAAACTGAAAATCTTGGTTTTTTTACTTATAAGAGGACATTTTTTAAATACAAGTTTAGCTGAGAAATTCTTGTTCACCAAAAAGGTTTTATGGTAAATGACCAATGTTTATGAGCTTTTTCAATAGCAAGGTTGTGTGGGAAGATTCAAGATACAAAATGTCTTCAAACAAGTTGTCATTAATCTGCTCATCACAACCAAAAGTGAATACAAGCAATGCAATTTTTAATGCCACATTTTTTGTGGAGAAAATGAAAAACAAAAATCCAAAGTTGAGTTGACAATAAATGCACATATACACATCGTATTCCTTTTACTCTTGAACAATGAAATACAGTCATCAGTATTACCAAAGTCCATTTAGAAGCAAGGGACATGATCTTGATGGGGTTTTCCAAATTGCTGGCCCTATCTCAACAGGTCCATAGAAAATGTCATGTTTCATCATACTCCATTTCACTAGCAGCCAAGCCAGGGATCCTCTCGGTTTTTCCTGGAGATGAAGGTCATTTTCCTGCCCATTTCTGTTGAGTAGATCCGCCTGCAGGTCTCAAAGCTCCTCCGCTGACGCTCTTGGCAGGGCTTCTCGCAGTACCGCTTGCGCTTCACTGTTTCAATAATGCCGTCCCGAGTCAGAAGCCTGGGGTATGTAGAGAAAACATGTGAAGAGCTGACACTTGGGGTTGCATTCCCAACAGGTAAATGTTAATAGCTAATACTAAAGACTCAGTCAGCCCATTCAACTGAAATGTAAAAGTAGTGCATAGAAAACGTTCAATGGATTTATAATTTTCTCATAGGTAATGTTTACACATTTCTTTTTAAAGAACATAATCAAAGCTAGGACAGCATCGAGACTGCTTTCATCGACCAATACTTTCCATGAATTTTAATTTTAATTGATTATTTCAACTTTACCTATCAGATGTGTTTATTGAACAACTCATGGAGGAATTT